GCGGCTGCGCCCCGCGGCGGCCGGACTCTCAGAGGCCCGGAAACTCCTGGGGCTGGCTTACCCAGAGCGCCGGAGGCTAGCAGGTAGGGCCCTCCCCTCCCGCTCGGCCCTCCTTCCCTCCGCCCGACCCTCCTTCCCTCCGCCCGGCTGCTCGCTTCACCGCGCACGGAGTCTGGGCCTGCCGAGAGGGGACACTGTCGCGGAGCCTGTCACCGCCGCACTCCTCGGGCCACTCGTAACCCCGGAGGAGGGGTGGGATGGCTTTACAGGAACTTCCGACCCTAAGTGCTGGCTAGGGAGCTCACCTCAGAGTAGCATTGTCAAGATTTCAGGTTAGCTGGGGACTTGTTGGAAGATTTGTTGTGTGTTTGTTTTCTTGCTGACACGCATTATACAAATGGAGCAGTAGCTCATTATTGGAATCTTTGGGTCTGTTCTGCCACCAACTTAGTGGGAGCATTCTCAGAACGAGATGGGTTTTTTTTTCCTTTTAAAAAATTCTAGCCAAAAATATGCCTATTTTGTTGTTACGCATTTTCACTGTATTAAAACCGCATTAAAACTTTGCTTTAGGCAAGCTTATCAAGCAGTGAACAATACTTTTACAACGCAAAGCAAAACAATCTAGACAAGTCTAAGTGCTACTGACTTTCTGAATGGTAAGCAGGAAGTTAACTGCACTCTGTCCAGAAAAGCCAACACTGGCCAGTCAGTGATCTGAAAACTATAGAAGCTCTGAGAAACTGTAGGTCATAACCCAACTAAATCGTAATTGAATAATTTTTAAAAGAAATCCAAATGCATGTTTTTAGAAACAAAATTCAAATAAACAACAATTTTTTTATAGCTCCTCATTTTTAGCCATAATTGGAAGAATGTTTCTGTGCAAGGGGCTTGTAAGATCTAAAAGTTTTTGAGATTTCTCTAAATTTTCTTCTCTTCTATAGAAATTTGTGGAGCCCTCATTATGTGCTGGGCCTGGGGTTACATTGGCAGAAAAAGACATGGTTCCTGCTCCTGCCGGGGCTTCCAGCTTAGTGGGGAGAAACATCAATGAGGTAGTCACATGACTAAAGATAAACCTTCAACTATAATGAAAGGGCTTTGGAAGAGGGCCTTTGAGGTTGTCAGGTGCAACACCAGAACAAATCCATTGCTTTAGAGAGTGATTGGGGGTTTAGAGTAGGTGTGCCAGGTGGAGAGCAGTTAGGGTGGCAAGGTTTCATCTGCCACTGACAATGGAAGCTTAGCAGGCTTCTTGGTATCTTAGAGAGAATTATTTCATTGTTCAGTTGGTTTTTTGTTTGCTTGTTTTGGAAACAGGCTCTTGCTCTGTGGCCCAGGCTGGTCTTGAACTCATGACCTCAAGAGATCCTCCCATCTCAGCCTCCCAAGGTGCTAGGATTACAGATGTGAGCCACTGCACCCAGGCGAGTGTAGATTTGTATGTAAAAGATCTTTTCTTCTTTTAAAAGTGGAGACTAGGCGATCTCACTGGACTGTGAGCTGCTTGAGACAGGAGCTGTGTCCGATTCATCTTTCTGTCTCCAGTTCTTAGCATGTTTGTGGCACAGAGCAGGGACTCAGAGTGCCTTAAGTGATGGAAAAAATGACCACACCTCCAAGCCCAGATAGAGGCCTTTAGAGGCCTTAAGCACTATAGGGTATGCCCACCACTCCTGTGTGTGCCTCAGTAAGTATAAGAAAATCCACTTTTGTTTCTGAAATATTAGATGTCAAGAAGGTTGTTCAGGTGCCTGCATGTGCCCAGTACTGTCTATCCTGTGACCATTGTCCCTGTCATCACATGTCCTGCCATGCTGGTATGTTGTGGGGACAACCTTAAACAAGGCAGGTCTGTGCCTCTTCTTTTTATTTTGTTTAAGATGGGGGTCTTGCTAAGTTGCCCAGGCTGATCTTGAACTCCTCGCCTAAGCGATCCTCCCGCTTTAGCCTCCCCAGTAGCTGGGACTACAGGTGTGTACCACTGCACCAGACTTCTACCTCTTTTTATTTTAAGAAGAGGAGCTATTTTGTTCTGCCAAATTGAAAAATTTGAATATATAATTTGAGGAAATAAGCCTAGGGTTGGCACAGTAATTTTTTTTTTCTTTTTAAACAGATAATAAATGCATATTGTAGAGGAAATCTGATGAAAAGCCCTTATTAGGGCATATGATTTCCTCAGAAGTCAATATATATATATATATATATATATATAAAAGTCAATGTGGACATTGGCATTTGTGTGTTTTAAGAGGGAGTTAGGGGGTCATTGTTAATTTGTAATTTATCTTCCTAAGAGCAGCCTCAGATGTTGGCACATCTCTTTAAAGTGCCAGATATGAAGAACAGTTGCGTGTGTGTGTGTGTGTGTGTGTGTGTGTTTGTGTGTGTTTTTAAGAGACCAAAAAAGAGTTGAAGAGAAGGAATTCCAATGTTAACTTGTTAATGTTTAGAAAAACCAAGTACAAAATCCTTTTTCAAACACACAGCTTTTCATTTGAATTATAATGCTTCCATCTGTCTTCAGCAGTTTTCTGAGTATGCCCATTTAGACCATGACCAGAAAACTTTGATACCAGAAACTTTTTAAACACAGAGTCTACCATTTGAAATCTTTACACATGTAAGCTGAGAGCAGCCTTAGCATTATTTCCATTCTTCTTCTAAAGGAACTGCTGTCTTCTAACCTGTCCCTTTGTTGTCCCCAATCCTCTCCCCCCTTTTTCACTTTGGGCAAGAATTTGCAGCTATCTTCCTACAGCTGTGGCCCTAGAGTCTTTTTTCACTGATAACTCTTCATCTTATCACTTTGGCCAGAAGGAATCTTTTTAAAAGATGCAGGAGCTTAAGGAGGAGCTGGTGGTGGACTGATGGGATAAGCTGTACTTCATCCAGCCCTCTTGCTGTTCCTGGGAGATAGAGGAGGCCTGAGGGCTCTAGCCATCTTGCTGCGTTCAGGGCAGGGTCTTAGGAGTAGGCCCTTAAGGGTACTGTGAGATTAGAGCACAGCTACTGCCTAGAGGTTCTTTGTGTAGTAGGCCGGTGGGGGCAGCATGCTTGCCCCACTCTGCCTGGGCAGGTTCCTAGTTAGACTGTGGGCAGTACACACCTACCCCCTTCTCCCCAGCGTGTTCCCCTGTGGAGGACTTGGGGGGGCTCCTCTCACTTCAGATACTGATAAGGGTTGTGTGGTTTGAGATCACGACCACTCTTAGAACCTGAAGCCTGCCAGCAGCTTTTGCTGAGTTTGTAGTTCTGCTTTATGACGGTGGACCATGAAGTGACGACAGTGAATAGAGTGGCAACACCAGTGGGCACAGTGCGCAGGAAGACTAGGAGTGCTTAGAGTGGCTGTTCCCCAGTCAGGACAGAGGTCTGCACTGTGGGACAGGGAGGATAAGCCTTTGAAATTGGGACTGTTCCAGAGCTATGGAAAGCTATGTTTGTGTGCTGCGGAAGTACTTCATTTCAGAGAAAACATTCACATTCTATAGCTGTGCCATGAAACGTGGCTGATTGGAATTGACCGAAGCGTAAAATACACATCAGATTCTGAAAAGACAGTAGGGCAAAAATGTAAACTATCTTACTAATTTTTATGTTGATTACATGCGGATTATATTTTGGATCTACTGGGTCAAATAAAATGTAATTAAAATTAATTTTACATATTTTTTTAACATGACAATTAGAAAAAAATTTTTCATGTAGCACAACAAGAAAGTTTTTTAAAATTATATAGGTGGCTCCCATCATATGTGTGTTGGACAGTGCTGCAGTCCAAGGCAAGCCCCCCTGGGTTCATGGGGCGGGTACCCCTAACTCTGCAGGGAATGCTGACAGCGTGGGCAGAGGATGTCTGGCCTTTTACCAGACACATGGCTACTCGGATCTTTGTTCTCCAGATCACTCCATGAACCTGAGGAGTCTCCTGAACTCTCTTGAGTTTCCTCCTCTGGTCTCTTCTCATCTGTCAGCCCCTCATGTCCTCCCTTCCTTTCCTGTCCAGCTCAGATGCTGGGTCCCTTCACTCAGCCGCCATCTCCCACACACCCTCCACTCCTGTGTTCCTTGTCATGCCCACCTGCATCTGTGGAAGTGTCTCCCAGAATCCCCCAAACCCAACACATCTAAAAAGCCAGTTACCTTCCTCCCCAAAGCTACCTTTTGTCCTTTGTCCCTTGTCTCAGCAAGGGGGACTGCTGTGTGATCCTTTGGCCCAGGCCAGAGACACAGGCCATTCTTGTGTGATGAGAGTAGTAATAAAAATACTGCTTTTATTCCTTATTTATTCAATACAGGGCACTATGCCAGATGCTTCACATATGTGTCTAACTTACTCCTCACAACAATTCCATAAGGGAGGTATTATTTTTATTGCCATTTTACAGATGGGGAAACTGAGGCACAGAGAGGTAGATTGACTCACACAAGGTTAAATAGCTAGGTGGCAGAACTAGGGTTCTGATCCTGTCAGACCCAACTTCAGAACCAGACCTCCTAACCTGCTGCCTAAATCCAACCAGTCATCGTGTCTAGAGTTCAAGAACCAGAGTCAGATTCTTAAAAATATCTCCAATCCCGGGCAGACATGGTGGTTCACACCTGTAATCCCAGCACTTTGGAAGACCAAGGCAGGAGGATCACTTGAGGCCAGGAGTTCAAGACCAGCCTAAGTAATGTAGGGAGACCCCATCTCAACAAAAAAAAGTAGAAAAATTAGCTGAGCGTGGTGGTGCACGCCTGTAATCCCAGCTATTTGGGAAACAGGCAGGAGGATCACTTCAGCCCAGGAGTTCAAGGCTGCAGTGAGCAATGATTGTACTACTACCCTCCAGCCTGGGTGACAGAGTAAGGCCCAATCCAAAAGAAAGAGGAAAAATATCTCCAATCCTTCTCACCGTCCTTTATCCTTCTGCCCCCAACCTAGTTCACTCCAGGGTACCAGAACAGCTTTCTATTTCCCCACCTGCGGTTGTGCTGGCCTCTCTTTTTGCTCTGCAGCCAGGGTAGGTCCTTTAAAAATGTAAATCTATCAGTCCCCAACATAAAACACTTTTAAGCCTGTCTTGCCACAAAGTCCTTATTTTCTGTTTTATATTATGGAAACTATTTCTCAGCACTCCTTCCTCTGTACCCACAAGGTCTCCGCTCCTGCTATATCCCACCAGCCTTTCTGCTCCCTGGCCTGCCCTGACCCCAGGTTAGGCCTATGCTGCTGCTTCTGCTTGGCCTGTGGGAAGATTAGGAGGACAGGCTTTGTCCAGAACGTGGTCCTGTATTATGTGGACTGGGAGACTTTGGGCAGGTTCCTTCAGTTCTCCATGCTTGTGTTTCTTCTCTGAAATAATCAGGATTGTTGGGGGATATCAGATGCTTCAGATGGTGGGGGGGACTCATTTTAGGTGCTACCTTTTTAGTCCTGGAGTACACTGGGGATAGCTGTACCTATTACAGCCAGATGGGTCCTATGTTCAGCAATTGGCAGATGGTAGGCACACTGTACGACTTCCTCTGCCAACCCCCAAACCTCTGTCCTCTTTCCGTGAGCTAAATATCTCCCACAGCCCTTTTACCTGCATTTTAGATTTTTGTTCCCTTTCTTTTGAAGGATATTTCTTTTCATCTTTGAATGCCATTGTTCAGTAGAATGAGGGTAACATAGCTGAAGATACCTGCCAAGAGATAACAGTGGAAGTTACAGGCTGGGTGGGGACAAGCCAAGAGGCTTAATCTTGGCGAAAAGGTACAGGAGAACTTCAGAAGAGCTGCGGTACACTTGTGTCTGGGTTTTGGTATGGAATCTGAAATAATGCTTATGGCGTAAGTCTGAATTATTCATTAATATCAGAAGACAGTGATATGCAGTAAAACCTTGATTAACAAGAATCCAGCTAACCAAAAACTGAAAAATTCTTTTACTTTGTTTTTAACATTCAAATTGGAAAAAGAGACAAATGGCAATAAAACAAGCTGACAATTTTTTTTTTTTATTAAAAAGTAAAACTGTGAAGAGGGTATCCTGGAAGGAGTTTGGATTCATCTAAATTCCTTCCTCCTTGTAATCAGCATCATTACTGTGTAAGAACCGACTCAGAATCAGAATCATGGGGAATTTCATGTGTGATGTGCAGATTCTTATGTGGAGACACAGCTTTGATTTAGAAAACTAGAGGAGGAGGGGAGAAATGGACCTTATGGCACTTTTCAGGAGTATTTGCCAAGGTAAAAGAATAGACTAGAGAGATTAACTACTGATGAAGGACAAAAACAGAATTTTCTGCTGCATCCTGAGTTTGCCAGAAAGACTCCTGCTGGAGCTGCCAGTTCATCGTGGCTGAGTTGTGCAGAACCTCGAGTTAGACACTGTCCTTTCCCTTAGGACTTTCGGTCCTGCTTGGAGACTGTCATAGGAGCATGGTGCTTTGTAGCAATGAAATGACCCTTGGCCAGGTTTATATCATTCAGTTAGGTTGTGATTATGGAGTTTTGAGCCAGACACATGCACTTTCCTAGCTGCCAGATCTTACACTCCTGTTTAGGTTATTGAAGATCTTTGGTCTGATAGACTTTTCAGCCTCCTTTACCAAAGTTCAAATTGTTCATTTATTCATTCAACAAATATTGATTGAGCTCTTCCTATGTGCCTGTCACTGTAGGCAATCAGTGACATATCAGACCAAAATCTTTTATGTCCTAATGGAGAGATGAGACAGACAGTAACAATAAACAAGTGAAATATTTAGAATGCTGGGAGGTGGGAGGGTCTAGAAGACAAGTGAAGAGGGAGTATAGGGTATCATCTGTATTTTAAGTGAGGTGGTCAGAGCAGGCCTTTTAGGGGAGGAGATATTAAAGGAGGAGTGAGAGTGATTGTTCAAAATGTTCCCCCCTTAAAAGGCTCGCATTTCTCCCAGAGCTCTGTCAGCTCAATGTCCTGTTGGCACTGAGTTTGTTCTGTACTCTTAAGGTTTTATAAAAGTAATACCTTTAACTGAAGTGTTAGGAGTAACCACACCACAAACAGAGAAGTAGTTGCTGTTTGCAGAGTGTTAGGAACTTCCATCTCCTTGGGCTCACTCCATGTTGTGCCCACCTGGGAGCCTTGCCATGGACTCTGTACTGGGGGGACCAGCCAGGTTCCTAATAGGTTTCTCATGGGTAATATATACACATAGCACCAAACTCCAAAGGGCCCCAGTGGAAAGGAAGCCTCCCTTTCACCCTGCCCCCAGTCACCCAATGCCATTCTTAGAAGGAACCTGTGGTACCTGTTTGTTATTAATCTTCCAGAGATGTTCTGTGCTTACATAAACTTGAAAAACCAACAAGTGGGCTGGGTGCAGTGGCTCATGCCCGTAATCCCAGCAGTTTGGAAGACCAAGGAAAGAGGATCCCTTGAGGCCAGGAGTTTGAGACCAGCCTGGGCCCCATCTCTACAAAAAATAGAAAAATTAGCTAGGCATGGTGATATGTACCTGTAGTCCCAGCTGCTTGGGAGGCTGAGGCAGGAGGATGGCTTGAGCCCAGGAGCTTGAGGTTACAGTGAGCTAGGATCATGCCACTGCACTCTATTTGGGGCAACAGAGTAAGGCTCTATCTCAAAAAAAAAAAAAAGGGCATTCCTCTTATGAATGCAGTTATCTGTAATATGTGTTATTTTTAATTGGATTTTTCTTAATATTTTTCTTTCTGATAAGATTCACCTTTGTTCGTTAGGTTTATGAACAGTTGTATTCATATTTATTTTCATATCATGCTGATATTCCCCAAAGCAATAATATTAAGAAGGAACATATTACATGTGTAGTAGATCCCTGAAACTGCTTTCCTCCAAGTTTATTCAGAGTATTTCGAAATGCTAGACGTCTTCAAGGGCTTTACTTGGACAGCTTGATCTTAACACTACAGTACAGGTAGATGCCAAGGGATAACACTGTACAGCACGAATGGAGGAGAAACGTGAGCTAAGATGAACACCAAGATCAAGAGCCAGGGAGGGAGACCAGGACGGGGCTCAGTGGTTGGCTCTCAGTATTTCCTGGTGAGGAAATCATGACCAGATCGGAAAGCTGTCTTCTCTGGCTGGGCACAATTGCTTACTTAATACAGTCCCTTGCTTGCCCATACCTTGGATCCATTTGGTTCCTCCCTGGGCTCGGGGGTCCAGGAGTGAAAGGGAGGGAAGTGCTAGCACCCAAGATTGACACACACACTCTGAAAACAGCTCACGTGGAAGGGAAGCCTCCTGGCCTCAGCACCCTGAGTGTGAGCGTGTGCTCGTGTTTTCCAGCTGCGGTTGGATTTCTGGCCATGTCCAGTGTCATCACTATGTCCGCCCCTTTCTTCTTGGGGAAGATCATTGATGTCATCTATACCAACCCCACTGTGGACTACAGCACCAACCTGACCCGCCTCTGCCTTGGGCTCAGCGGCGTGTTTCTGTGTGGTGCTGCTGCCAACGCCATCCGTGTCTACCTCATGCAAACTTCAGGTAACAGTCTCTCATGTCAAGGGAGCAAGTCATCCTAAAGAACACATAGGGGAATCCTGTGGGTGGGTTCAGGCCTCAAAGTTCATGTACTCGAGGCCCCATTCTCTCCCTCTCTTCCCAACATCGCATCAAGTGGGGACAGATCCCAACGTTTGGCCAGACGTTGGGGTTATGGATTGTTTTAGGTCAAGTACTCTTTCTTAACTCGTGTTTTACGTGATTGGAGTTGAGCAGTAAGGGAAATTGCCATATATGTCTTATGGGAGGTTTGAGAGCAAGGCCCTTGGCCATGAGGCTGGACTTCCAAGCCTTCTTCGAGGAGCTTCAGATTCAGTTACCATCCCAGCTTCAAGGAGCTTCAAGGAGCTGGGATGGTAACTTTGACAGTATTTCTGTGAGAGGCCTCGTGGTTACAGGCCAGTAACCATCACAATAATGAGAGAGCCCAGGAGACCCACTGGAAGTGTGTAGCTCCCCATTTAGCTAATAAAATACTCTGTGGATAATTAACCAGTTCCTGCCAACTGAAGGTTCAATACAGAACAGGGTTGCCAGGGAGGAACAAAATGAGCTTTTGGAAGTTAATATAACTTTTTTGTAAATAGTAATTTAAAAAATCTCTTATCACGTTATATTTACTTTATCCCTGTATCCTCCCCTTAGTGCCCGCAGTCTGTGGTTACTAGGAGAAAAGTAGTGTTTGTTACTAATGCATGACTGTTACGCCAGGGCTTGAGTTAGTCTCTTCCCACCAATGGGACACAGTGCTCAGCAGGGTTACACCAGGCCAAGTTGACACATAGCAGGTGGCTGCCCCTTCATGGTAACAGATGACAGTACCCAACGTGAGCCCGTTTTTGTTTGCTTTTGCAGGTCAGCGCATTGTGAATAGGTTGAGAACTTCATTATTCTCCTCCATTCTGAGGCAGGAAGTTGCTTTCTTTGACAAGACCCGCACAGGAGAATTGATTAACCGCCTCTCCTCGGACACAGCACTTCTGGGGCGCTCAGTGACTGAAAACCTCTCAGATGGGCTCAGGGCTGGGGCCCAGGCTGCCGTGGGGATCAGTATGATGGTATGTCAGCCTGGTTCCCCTTGGTACCTTCCAGTCAGGGCTGGGCCTGTGCCAGGCCTCTCACGCATGAGATGAGCTCA